TGATTATCAGCTTCCCACCTTCAGGGTGAATGAAAACACAATCCTAAGGAGACTGCAGATGGACCCAACTGGGACCCAAAGTTCAGTGATGCAAATTGTAGCTACTTCAGTGACAGCCAAAAAATAGCTTTTCTTTTGTTCACTTTTTCAACAAATATGTACTGATTGCCTACTACATGCAGGCACTGGGAAAAAGAGACAAGACGTTTTTGCTGCCCCGGCACTTATAATCTAGCAGGGAAAACAACAATAAGTAAGCAAAGTAACTTCACAAATTGTACACATGTGGAACAGAAAATAAATGAGGGTTAACAGACCAGCATAATGGGACATTAGAAGTCACCTAAAATTGGGCTTTATTAGAGGCAGTCAGCAAGGGATGTTAGAAAGGCAGGAAACAGACTTGGGTTTCAGTTCTAGACTCACAACTAACTAGCTGTAAAGGCTTTTAATTTAAACAAAAAATGCTTAGAATCAAGGCATACTTCATTTGGCTGAAGTATGCAGATAAGCCAACTGACTTCAACTCCTTGGACCTCAGTTTTATCATCCACGAAACAGGAGAATCGCTGTATTAACCCACCTTGTTAGGGAAACTAAATGAGATCACAGGGTAAACGGGTTTGCATGAAAACATTACAAGCACTATATAGAAACACAATACAGTTAGGAAAGCACTGGATTTGAGCTGGTAAGCACGTTGAGGGCAAGGGCTGTGTATGACTGATGGTTGAATATGTAATAAATCTGTCTCAAACGCATTTTGAATGAATGGCCAGCCAATTTTTGTGTGACTGCATTATTTTAGTGCCAGTGTCATCCCCCAGTCTGGTGACAGACACATTGCCGAAGGAATATACAGATTTCTTGTAACAAACTCTCTGATCTGTCACAGGGTTAGCATCTCTGAAATTCGCTTGCCAAGGTGACAGGTCACCTAAATTAAGATGCGGATCTTGAATGAATGTAATTACAGACCATAATAATGCCTCCTCTACTGTGCATCCAGCTATTACTTCACCAATTGGCCATAAACTGTGCATCATCATATAAAACAATAATTCCATCAATGACTGTAAAGTCAACAGCTACTTCCTTAAGGCAAATACATCACCACCTAAACTAAGAAACAGCTATCAAATAACTCAAACCACAAGTCCAGAATCAATGAAAATAAATGGTTGTTAAGGAGTCACATTCCTCAAATCTGTTTTCAGCATCAAATACTCATGGGGAGAAATGGGAATGTGGTCCATGATTATGGAGACTTTGGGGCAGGTTAAGGGACGGTGTTTGGTGGGAGTGATGATGAGTTGAACTAAAGTAAGCTCTTCCAAGAGCCAGATGTGTGAAGTAGAACTGGGCTGAACCAACTCTTACCTTTCTATTCAAAGGGTTTTACTCTCCCTACCCTCATCCTGTCCCAGCCCATCCCCTAAACTTCTGAATCTCCCATTGGCACACAGTAGCAGCAGCTGCCAGCACTGATCCAGACCTCACTAAAGACCCTCAACAGAGGAAGAAATATAGTCTCTGCTTTCTCACACATTTGACACCAGTGGGATTTCACTGTGCCTGATTTAATTTGGTTATTTTGATGTGGAAATATTTTGACCCACTGTGAAAGCCATTAAACTTGAGCATTTTCCCTCCAAATAACGTGTCCGTCTTGACCACTATCCCAGCTGAGGACAGAATAGCGGTATTGCCTACTGTGCATGTTACCTGGTAATTAAAACGTGAAAAGGTTTCCATTTTGACAAGTCCATTGTGAAGCAGCCTCATCACCACCATAGATACTCTGGTCCTTGAAAAACCGTTTCACTCAATATCATTTAGTTATAATGCTGGAACTTGACTCCTGTTTTTATCACTTAGCCTATGTTAAAATTGATATTATATATCATTTCAGTTGAAGTTATGTGAGGACTTACTTTTTAGAACTAATGAACAACCTAGGGGGAGCCATGCACAACAGCCCTGTGCTTCCAAGTAGGAACTGCTGAACTCACTCAGTGTCTTTCACCCCTGGCTCTGGGAGCCCTTGGACCTGAGTGGCTGTGAAAGGGCCAGTTCCACCCGAGTCCTCAAAGGACTACAAGCATCTACAAACTAGCAAGGACACTTATTCAATTGAGGGCTTTTCTTGAAAGTCCATCTTCAGTACACTGTATCCATTTTTCCCCCTTAGTTATTTCTAGAGAGATGGGAAAGGAGGGAGAAATAGAGGGAAACATCAATGTGTGAGAGATGCACCAATCGGTTGACTCTCATGCACCCCCAGTGGTGGGGGTCTGCATGAGAGTCAGCCCAGGCACTTTCAACCTGCAACCCAAAAACTGCAACCCAGGCACATGCCCACACGGGGAATCAAACCGGTGACCCTTTGGTTCACAGTCTGGTGCTCAAATCCACTGAGCCACACCAGCCAGGGCTCCCTTAATTTCTTAGAAGCAGCTACTGAGAGTAACACATAGTACTGATATATGAGCATTCCTTAAAGCTCATATACATGGTTTTATTTGAATTTTACTTTGTTTTTAAATGTGGTTACTCAACCGAATGGGAATACATATGCTATTAATATGGTATGCTGCTTAGCTGCTTGATTCTGCCATGCAGACGACAGTTCTTCAAGTCTGCTTCCATTTCCACCTGCAGGGTGGAATGTAGTAGTTCCCCTGCAGATGCTTTTCCTCTGGTTGGTTAAGGCATCAGAGGCCAGTGTTAGGAAGCTGCGTTGTTACCTGAAAATGTAGCATAAGTAGAAAACAGTTTTCTGTGGCAGAAAGAACCACACCTGGAGAGGGGTCGATCTGTATACCCTTATCTCCCTAAATAGTAGAAAGTAATTAAGCCCTCTTCTCCTGCGCCAGGGCCTTATGAGGACACAGTCATGGAAGAAAAGCCTCTTTGGAAAAGAGGGACCCAAGAGAAGCTGGCTCTGCTCTAATGAATGGGGACAGCGGGGATCCCATCAGGTCTGAGCAGGATAGCCCCCAGCTGGTATGGCTGACACTGGGTGTAGGGTGGTAGCCAGAAATTCAGCTTTGTCCTTCAGCTCTCGACGGGAGGCATGGTGACCTGCAGAGCCTGACCAACGTCCAGACTACCATCACAATCACAAACAACCACACCCATTCAAAGGAAAGCAGGTCTGGATCCAGGAGATTTCTTACACTGGAGTCCATGATGAGGGAAAGAAGGATAGGAGATAAGAACCATTTTTAGCTATTTCCTTTGTTACACAGTAAGTGAGCTTCATTTCTTTCTTTCATTAAAAAAATACTGAGACTGAAGGACTACTTCTTTTAGCTGAAGTATGCATGTAGGCTAGGGAGAAGTGTCGGAAACTATATAACAATGACTGAAGTTAGCCAACACAAGACATCTGAAGGTCTGTCTGCATCAGAGTGTTAGATTTTGCTAGAAATTTCCTGGAAGGCAGAGAATGTGTTTGCAGCTCTGTGACTGGTGCAGTTAATATGTGTTTGAAGATGAAAGACCAAACCTCCAGGGAAAAGATGCTGACCTCGTCTGGCCAATACTTTCAGCCACTATTATCTACAGGGACCACTGAAATGTCAGACAACCACTTAAATTACATGGACAAAGCCACAAACCCACAAAAGACACTACCGCATCCTGAGACAGACGCGCTGCTTGCTTGCTGCCAATTTTCCCCTCAAAGAGACAAGGAATTGATGCTGCAGGCTGGTAATGAAACGGGCTACTGGTACCTTGCTCCAGATTATTCTTGGAGGACTGGGATCGAGTCATGCTTTCTGCTTAATTCAAGACACACAAACATAACACACAGAGCAGAAAATCCTCCTGGATCTTGAATTCTGCTTTTGCTATGTAAGGACCCATGTGCACTATACTTGAGAGGACAGAAATCTGAACCAGCAAACAACAAAGGCCATAGCGCAAAATTTATTGGGATTATTTACTACTAAATATTCATATATATCCAGCATCACTGAATGGAAATAATGTAATTTTTTTCAAATGGCAAACCTTCCACTGTGGTCTTTCAAGAAAGTCAAAAACTTCTTGGTGACTGTATCTTTAACAAATGGAATGACCTAACTAGTAAAGTTAGATGTGTCTCAATCAGCTCCTAAACTCAATATTGCTAACATGTTTTTCTACTTAAAAAGCAAACAAAAAGCAGAGCTTCATAATTTAGTAATTATGCCACAGAAAGATATTTGATGAAAGTAAGCAAAGCACCTAGTCTCAACAGTCTTCTTAAAATCCTTAAATTAAGGTTGCTTTCACAATACCAATATAAATATTTAGATCCCCATCTGATGCGTTTCTTCACTTATATGAGTAGGAATGCACTCAAATCCTTAAGTCTTTACTCTTGCTTCATACTACAGCTGCTTAATTAAATTACCCAGTACAGAGGGCTGTACTGGCTGGACCAAAACACTTGATAAGAATTCATTACAATCTTTTCCAAGAAACCAAGATAATGTCAATACAAATTTTAGTGGCTACTGTGTTTACCACTTACGAATACTTTGTTTTTATAACAGGAAGCATGTTTGAAAATTCATCATTAATAAGTGAATTCCATAACACACATAGAAATAAATAAATCTGTTATAATGCAGGGGTGGGCGAAAGTGGGTTCCCAGTTGTATGGGAGTTAATAAAGCTACTGCAGTGATCATAACCTGCATGTCTTTTTCCACACAAACAAGTGTAAACCTACTTTAGCCTGACCCCTGTATAGGAATATCTATAAATTGTTCTTATTGTTCCCAATGGCTTTAAATGTAAATATGTAATTATATTAGTAATTTTATAAAGTCAAAATTTTTGCCTAATTTAACCCTGTATACCAAACGGTGTATGTGCTGAAGATGAGAAGCATTTTAAGAAGTCTCGTAACAGGAAACTTAAATACCACTTTGCACTGGTGATGGCATAAAAGATAGAGAAAATCAATTTCTCAGAAATTTTTAAAGGAAGAATAGATTTAAGAATAAATTTCTTTGGACTCTATAGCCCGTTTTATTCTACACCTTTCCACGCTTCAACATGATGCCAGAAAAAAGAATTTACTGAATAAAAGTAGCCAGGAAGGGAATCAAACATTTATAAGATATATTTATTATTTTTCTGACCAAAGTGCAGCGATTTTTTAAATCTTCTTAAACAATAACTATGAAAAAATATTCAAAAAATAAAATAGAAATGGGAAATTTAACCATTATATTTCTTCTACCTTATTCTAATGTTATTATATTTAGTCTGGAAAGCAAACCAAAAAAAACTCATTTTACCATAAATTTAGTACATGCATTTCAAGATTCCACTACTGAAAATTTGGTTGAGATCAACTTAATCACTAATAACAGTAAATAATAGAGCACAAGGAACACGTGTCATTAGAAGTGATCCTTGCCCCTTATCCTCAGACTTATGTCAGAATAAAGCTGACGACCCTGTCAGGCTCTGAACCCCAGTACCCCCATCCCCATCCCTGGACGCAGAGGCTGCGCCCTGCCACACAACTCTGTACATGCCGTAGGAAGGTGTAGCCTAAGTGTTCTTACCTTTCTACGGGATATGGCCAGTTATGTGATAAATGCTAAAACACTTCTAGCAATTCATTTCATGAGTTTGTTTACCAAACACACTATGCAAGAACTGACTACACAGAGTCCCTTTGGAATTTGGTCCATAAATTTACTTAACAGGTTGGACATTTAAAACCTGCAAGAAAAAGAGGAAATGAGGAATCCCTAGTCCTGACACATTATAATTACTAAAGGGATACACACATACCAAAAAGTTTTGCTCACAGAAGGCACAAACTATAAAAGGGATTTTCTTATTCAATAAAAACAAAGAACTAGCTAATGCCCTTCTTTGTTTCGTGAGCACCATAGCTAAGATGAAATTAGATCCAAATTCACTCTCTACTCCTGTGACAAAAAAAAAAGTTAAAAAATTTAATTTGTCTTACATACTTTGTGGCCATTAATTGTGATATAATTATGAAACATTAAAATTGACTTAAAAAGAGATTGTGATAGCAGCTATCAAAGCAATATTTCAAGCATGATTTCAAGGATGCTTTCAGGTCTAGAATTAGCCTTCTCTGTCAAAAATCTTCACAACTTCATTAAAAACCTATAAAGGAAAAAGAGATTAACAATTTTAAGAAACAGGTATTGTTAAAATACCACACAGCCTTAAAATGTGTCAACTTTATATTCATTTCCAAAATAGATCATTAAAAAACAATTAGGATTTCTTAGTTTCGTCTATTTTACTTTAGACGGTAAATAACACCATAAATAATACATATACAATTATGAAAATGATGTATTCAATTTTATTAGTGTTCTTAGGATAAAACAAAACTTCTTGATCAGCTACCAAACACTGATACAATAGAAGTGGCCTATCTTCCTAGTTCTGATTCTGAAACACTTAAGTTTTCTGATGTATTACACCTCACTGCTATAGAAAGCAGCAATGGATAAAAAACCAGAAACGACTAGATAATAAAAAAGAAAAGTCCAGAGGAAGAAGATTCAGGAATCAAGAAAAGACTGGGTCAATTAAAAGGCACTGAAAGGATTTGGAGGAACAAGTAGGAAGGACACAAGGACAAGAACTAAGGGGGTGAAAATGGGAGGGAGATGGGGAGCAAGGGGGGGGGACTAGGAAGGGAGAAATAGACAGAAAATTGTACTTGAAAAATAAGTAAATATAAATTTTTTAAAAATACACAAGGACAAAAAAAAGGCACTAGGAACAGCTGCAGGGCACCAAGGACTTGCGAACCGGAGCTGACTCGTGAGGGAGAGAGCAACGTCGAGTCACGGAAATCCTGCCCCGCTGGAGCTGTGTGCTCTGCGACAGAAGAGACGAAGGCAGCCTGGGGCTCCTGAGCCACAAGACTTGCCCTTCACGTTATAGATTTTAAAAAATGATCATGGTCCAAATCATAGTCTCAAAGTGCCAATTTTCCAGTGTTCAAGAAATGAGTTTTGGAAGTAATAGACCACTCACTTCTTAGGAAGAACAAGTCTGAAGTTGTAAAATCCATTTTAGACTACTCAAAATAAGAGAAAAAGCCTAATTTTTCATTTGGTCTCCAGTGTCTTGAAAAGCAAAGTATTCTGTCATAGTATTTTTTTTCTCCTGCCTAACTCCTCCATCACATTTTTACTGGACTTTTTTTTTAAGGCAGGCTAGAGATACTCACTTCATCAACAGATTTAGAAGCATCTATTTTCTTGACTTTCCCCATTTCTTCATATAAGTCAATAATTGGCTTTGTTGACTGAAGGTAGGTTTGAATTCTGCAAAACAAGAGGAACTATTGCAAGGTTCTAAGTATCTATCCATCCTCCCCCACGTTATAGGAAAGAAAGCTTAGAGGAAAACACTGGATCTGCCTCAGCCGATTCCCTGACCATCATCTCAGGTCAGCCATTCCACCTATGTAAGCATGGCGTTTTCTCTGTTTCTGGACCAAATGAGGGAAGTGTTTGGCCTGCTACTCAAGTTGCAAACTGAGGCTAAGGTGGCTATTGTATAAAAACTGCAAAGTACCTCTTTTCCAGGCTCTCTCTGTTGTCATCACTCCTTCCGCTGCTCTTTCCCCTCTCAAGACATCGTTCAACACAGATCTGAAAAGATCAATAAATTAGAAGTTATTTTGAGCCCTGGCTGGTATAGCTTAGTGGATTCAGCAAGGGCCTGTGAACCAAACAACCACAGTTCAATTCCTAGTCAGGGCACATGCCTGGGTTGCAGGCCAGTTCCCAGGAGGGGACGCATGAGAGGCAACCATACATTGATATTTCTCTCCCTTTCTCCTTCCCTCCCCCTCTAAAAATAAATAAATAAAATCTTTTAAAAAAACTAAAAAAAAAAAAAGGTACTTTGAAAAGGACAAAATTAAAAGGAGAGACATGCATTCTTTTAACCTGAAAAGAGAATGAAGTTTTAAGAGTTAAAGAAAAAACCTGCATTAAACCAAATGTGTCTAATTCATTAATCAACATATAAAGTCCTTTTAAATTTAAACATGTGGTTCAATTTATATAAACTAGGTTAAATAAGTACAGAGCATAATAAGAATTCATTCATGACTCAGTTTTTCCTGTGTATTTGTTTTCAAACCGCAATAAAAAGATCTGTATGTGTATGGTTCCAGCTAAGATATATTATTATTAACTTATTAGGTATGAATTACAGGCCTCAAACTTTGTTCTATTTCTGCTTACTTTTCAATAATTCCATAAATATCCAAATATTTAAAAATCAACGTATTTGCATTGTAAGAAAGTACCCCTTTTTAATTGTGAATAAACATTCCTTGGTTGTAAAGCTATGGTAACATTCTAAAGTTAACTTTGAAGAGTAAGTGAAAACATATTTTTGGGGGCTGGAAGAAGACAGTTATATTTTAAAACAACTCAAAGGCTTCAGCAAGTCCTTCCACCAGAGGATATTTGCAATTCAACCAGCCAATTTCCTTCAAGGCAGTACTTCAGGTTTTTTTTTTTTTTTTTAAGAAAGAGGGGAAAGGAGAGAGGAAAAGGAGAGAACACTGACGTGAGAGACACTGAAGGGCTGCCTCTCTTACGCTCCCAACCACCAGCAACCTGGGCACGTGCCCTGACTGGGAATCGACCAGTGGTGATGCCCGTGGGTGATACCTGGCCAGATGAGCCACACTGGGCAGAGCAGCACTTCAGATACTCACTCCCTCAGGCTGCTGGCATTAATTTAATGAAGTTTACAGGTGTGAAACAGTCAGGCCTTTTAATTAGATGTTCCCAAGAAATTAATTTAGTTATTCAAAGGTATGTCTAAGTATGCTATTAAAAGTGCCAACAAGAAAAAGAATGCTTTCCTGCTTTTTTTTTGCCTAAGATCATTTTACTCTGAGAAGACAAATCAGCTATTTTCAATGTTTCTGTAAAATAGAAACTTTTCTCAACTTCCCAGAAATGTGTGCTTCTTTTCCAGTAAACAATCATCCTAAGGCAAGATAACAGCTCATACCTAAGAAGTAATAGGGGGCAGCTTTATCAGCTAACATTATTGTACAAGTCAATTCCTACTTAAAAACAACTCAAGACAAATTGTTCTTTTGAAAAAAAACAAAAAACAAATTTCAGGTCCACAATGTTGCTGATGCCACTAAGTGTGCAACACTCTAATGGCAAGACAATGCCGTTCTGTCCCTGCAACGTTCCAATTCAGAAAGACACTGCTGCCAACATAGAACATAAATATCAGCAAAGAGTCACGTCGGCCCTGGCTGGTGAGGCTCTGCTGGTTGGAGCACTGTACTGTATTCCTAAAGGCTGGGGCACAAATGGGAAGCAACTAACTGATGTTTCTCTCTCACACTGATGTTTCTCTCTCTCTCCAAAATCAATAAACAATATATTTTCAAAAAGCCACTTTGTATTTCTGTATGGCTGACAATCAAGTTGCTTAAAACTCATGTGGGCAGATGACGATGTGCATTACCTCATTATTACAATCAAAAAACAGAACGAAAGCTACATCTGCCTTCCCATCCATGGTCTTGTTCCAACCTTGAAGGTTCTCTTGATTTCTTGGAAACCCATCAATCAAGAATTTATTCTTCTGAGCATTGGCAGCCATCGTCTGATCCATTTCCTAAAGGAAAAGAAAGATTCAGGGCCAATACTACATTAACAAAATTCAATTTCTTAGCAGGCCAGTGAATATGTTGGTGCTTGTTTTATTGTTATTCTTTAAATCCTAAGTAAAGTGTGAAGGATGCATAGGAAAAAAAGACTTAAAAGAAAATGATCCAATGTATTAACATGGTTGCTGGTGGAACTATGGATGTGTACCCTTCCCCCACTTTATGGGCATATACATTTTTTGTACTTTCTAAGATTTCTATAGTAAGCATGTACTGCTTTAACATATACATCCACAAAGTTATAAACAGCAAATGAGAAAAATAAGTATTAAGCAATATCTTTGCTTCAGCCACTGGAGACCTCATCCTGTCTTTCCTTTCCTCCACCCACAGCATGGTGCCGTGGTGGGAAGTACATATGCTGCATCTAACGGCACTTGGATTCTCTGCAGTAATTCAAGTCCAACTGCAAAAAGCTCTGGAAAATTATAACAGACTGCTAGCATTAATTGTAAGTGAAGGAGTCAATATGTTTTCTTCTTTTAATTGAAGCTAATTAAACCTAAATGCCACTCACTGGCTACCCCCAAACACAGGTAGCAAAGAAAACAATACCTTCAGAGAGACAGCAAGAAGAGCACATTTCACCATCCTCTTTCCAAGTCTGAATTTAAGTGCAATGTGGAAAAATGTGATGGGAGATGCAGATGTCCAAATCCCTACCACACCAATCACCATGGGATAAGCACAGATGCGTGACTTTGAAAAAGTCCAGAGGGGCCTCTATTCCAATGCAAACCAATATCTGGTCCCGTGAGTGCTCAAACTGTTTTCTAGTTCCTCAAGAACAATGGCCTTCAGGACTCCTGATTCCCTGATCCGAGGGCTGGCTTTATTCCAGCACCTAGCTTCTCCAACACTCACAAAACTTGCACAGCAAGCCTTTGTGCCCCTTCTATAACATTTCTATACCAATAGAAATTGGTACAGTGGAAGACACATGCAGAGGTACACCAATATTCTACTCATTCAACATACGTTTATTCAAGGCTAACTCACAGGGGACATGAAGAGCAAGGACATGGCCCCTAGGGAGCTCACAGTCCAATGGATAACAAATATGTAATTAAATCTGCTAAGTTCTATCGTGAGGCATAAGAAGATGCTATGATAAAACAAAGAAGCGAGCACAAACTACCTGGGAAACTTGGAAGCTTTATCTAAGAGGTGGCAGCAGAGCTGAATCCTGAATAGTGAAGTGGCAGGCAGACAGGGGTCCAAGTACTTTGGACGGTAAACTGCATGGATAAAGGCTCACAAATGAGAACGTGTACAGCTCTGATGAATCTGAAGTAAGCTGGTACAGCTGAATCTTAGGATATGTATATAAAATGGTGGAAGATGTGACTAGAAAGTATGAGGGGCAAGACTAATGAAGAACTGGTTATGCCACACAGAGGATTTGGTTTTTATTCTGGAAGCAATAAAGGATCACTAAGGAACTTTAAGCAAAGAAGAGTATGCTCACATCACCTTTCAGAAGAAAAAAAAGTCACCCTGACTGCACCATGAAGGATGTATTTGAAAGGGACAAAAATGATTTAGGCAAAAAGACTAGGAGGAGGCTCTAGAAGAAAAGAAGGTCTAAACTAAGGTGACAGTTATAGTAAAGAAAAGAGATGAAATAGAAGAGGATTAAGAGAAAGATAAATGAAAGGATCTGCTCACTGAATGAATGTGGGAAACTAAGGCAGACTCGGAAAATACAGCACAAAACCCAGATTTCTGGCCTGGGCAGCTGGGTAGATAAGACGGTAGACCCATTAAGCAGGACAGGAAATAACGGTGATCACATTTTAGATGGTACATTCCATCTCGGACGTGGTGATTCTGGAGCACTTGTAAGACATACCGGTGGATGCCTAGTAGTTGGTTAGAATCGCAGGTCTGCTGTTCAGAAAAGCATACTACAGCTGCAGATTTTGGCACCATTAGCACATGGAGAGCCTTAGGCATGGCTAAACCATCCAGCAAGAAATATATAAAATGATAAAAGAACCGAGGATAAAACCCTGAGAAATATATGGCTTAGGAAAACTTGCAGAACAAGATTTATCAAGGAGACTCAAGAAATAGTACTTATCGAAATAGGAAGAGAATCGAAAAAAATGGTGTCACAAAGAACAAAAGAAATGAATTTCAAAAAGACAGTGAGCACAGTTAAATGCTACAAGAAAAATGACAAAAATATCCCCTGTATTTAATATAGATTATTGGTAACAACAACAAGAACAATTTCAGTGAAGATGGACATAGAACCTGACTGCAAAGGGTTATGAGTAGAAAGTGAGAAAGTGAAAAACGTAGACTGGTCTTTCATGATGCTGAGCTATAAAGTGGAGAAAGAACATTACATCCAGAGAATAAGGAGATTTATTACCCTGGAATAGAAGTAGGTTATTCCAATCTCTGAGGCAAGAGGTAAGAGTATGTGTGAATAAGCTACTCTTCATCCTCAAGTTTCTCTGATTCCACCCAGATGCTCACATATCTCTTTCCTAGCACGTTTAAACTATTCCTTGCTGTTCCCATTCTTGTATTTGTCCTTAACTGTTCCTTACATGTGAAAATATTCATTAATGATTAGACGTGTAAAGTTATGAAAATGTGTGTTTTTTTAGATGGGAAATATTTTACTTTGATAGCTGTTAATCTTTGCATTTCATACTGAAGATGGTGATGCATACACCAGAAAAGGAGATACCGAGACTGAGAGAATGGCAACAGTAGGAAGGTCATGGAAGACAGGGATAAAGGCAGGGAAGGAGGTGGGAGGAAGGTAGGAAGTTTAACAAAAGAACAGAAAACAGAAAGGAGGAGAGGGAGGAAAACGAGGGGAAGAAGAAAAAGAAGAAACAAATGGAAAAGAGATCATCAAGTGCACACATATGAATGTTGAGTTGATACCAGACCAAAGCAAAGAATGCTTGCAACTGTCCAATTTCTTCCCACGTGGAAGCGGAGTTCCCAATCTTAAACACCATGATCATCTTCTACAGAGAAATTCAATACTCTGATTTTTTTCATTACTCTAAAGGTGGATAGATTTAAATTCTCAAACGAGATTAAACCTTGCTGGTTTAAATTGGTTGGCATTCACACTCCTTACCCTCTTTAACAAACTGATGGTTATCTCAACTGGCACAATCCTTCCATCTTTAATGTATTTTTCAATGAGTTCACCATACTGTGAATCAGGGTTTTTCCTTTCATCGCGAAGAAGTTCTCCTGCAGAAAGGTGTGTGTAGCCATATTTCTGAAAGAAACAACAAATAGGGGGGAAAATTAGAATATAGTTAACCCAGTAGGACTATTGGTTTTATCTCATTTTAATTTCTACACTCTATTTTTTCTTACAATAAAAAAGCTTTTCTTACATAATAAATAATTTAAAAATTTAGCCCTGGCTGGTGTGGCTCAGTAGATTGAGTGCTGGTTTGCAAACCAAAGGGTTGCTAGTTCGATTCCCAGTTGGGGAACATGAATGGGTTGTGGGCCAGGTCCCCAGGGGGAGGCACACGAAGGCAACCACACAGTGATGTTTCTCTTCTCCTTTCTCCCTTCTTTCCACTCTCTAAAAATAAATAAATACAATCTTTAAAAAAATGTGAGAGGTTTCATGTAATCTCTCAGTTTGCTTAAAAAACATCTCTTACCTATGTAGGGCATGGTAACTGTAATGTTCACAAACTGTGAAATCCTCCAGAAACTTATTTAATTATTGAAAGCATTAACATCTCATTATATTCCTTCACAAACACAATCAACATTTAAATGTTATTAACATTCGAAGAAGTGCCTAACAAATGTCTGTAAGATTCAAGGCAGCCCTAGCCAGTGTGGCTCAGTAGACTGAGCGCCAACCTGCAAACCAAAGGGTCGTTGGTTCGATTCCTGGTCAGGGCAAATGTCTGGGTTGCAGGCCAGGTCCCCAGTGGGGGCAGGACGGGGGCGGTGCACAAGAGGCAACCACACATCACATGATGTTTCTCCCTACCCCTCTGTCTAAAAATAAATAAAATCTTTTAAAAAAAAAATCAAGGCAAAAAAAGAAACCTCCCCCAAAACTCACCACTATTGGCTACACCCACCTTTTTAAAGTCTGCTTCCCTTCCTTAAACTCAACATGTCCAAATTGAACTCATCAGCATTTACACAACCCCCATTCTTGTTTTGTTACCCTTCTCAGTAAACAGCACACAATCAAAAAGTATCTTACCAAGTATTACTGTCTCGACACCTAATAAACCAGCATCTTCCTTCCTATTTTCCAAAGTCCATTTCCTACTTCTCCAGTGAGGTCTCATATTAGAAAGGGAATAGAGCTACCTATTTTATAAGTTAGTGGGATGATTAAATGAGATAATGTGTGGGAACTGCATACCAGAGACCCTGACACATAATAGGGGATAAAAGCCATCAATTACCTCTTTGCCACCATGAAAATATTTATCTTAAATAATCCAGAAGCATTTTACATTTTATATATACCATTTAAATATATATATTTTTAAGATTTTTAATTTATTTTTAGAGGGAGAAGGGAGAAAGAGAGGGAGAGAAACATCAGTGTGTGGTTGCCTCTCATGCGCCCCCTACTGGGAACCCGGCCCACAACCCAGGCATGTGCCCTAGACTGGGAATCAAACCAGCAACCCTTTGGTTTGCAGGCTGACACTCAATCCACTAAGCCACACCAGCCAGGGCCATTTTTATATTTTAACATGTGTATGTATATATTCACCTTAATGTTTTATGATAGAAAGACTAATGAAGGGGCTTATGTGAGATAACAGATATGAATATCCTATGAAAGATCAACAAGTATAATATTATGACTGTGATAATCATTAAGGAGTTACATATGACGTATTAGGTCATAGGTCGCAGTTGAGCCAAGTCATGTAAGAAGCTATGGTATTGTTCTGCCATTTCCCCAAGGTCAGAATGAGAATAGAATATAGATCTAAGAAATAACTCTGAATATTGAAAAGCTTCCTCTACATGAACTTGTACATTCTCTTTGTTTGAATCAAAAGAATCATAAAGTCTATTTTTTAAATGTTTTTACTCTCAAACATCAGGACACTCAGAACAATATCCAATGTTCAGTTACAATAATCATCTCGTCCCAAATTCTTAAGACTCCCTAAGTGGGATTTTTTCTTATCCATAGTAAGTGTGCAATAAATATTTAATAACTTAAATCTTATGTTTAATTTCAATGTTAAGATTTGAGGCATCCCATACACTCATCCCCTTTTATTTTTTAAATATATTTTATTAATTATGCCACTACAGTTGTTCTATTTCCCCCCTTCATTCCCCTCCATCATCCCCTTTTAAAGTAGCATTTCAATTACACATTTTACAAAAACTTTCAATTACCTAAGCTACAGCGAATTTCTCTCTTTTTTGGATTACAGAAGCCATACATTCTCTACCCCTTTTTCTATTTCCAAAAATTGTTAACTACACTTGTTCCTGCTCCCTAAAGTAAGTGACCAGTAAAGTAGTCAGCAAAGGAAAACAAACTCTTAAAATTGGGCATAAAGTTTGGTGAGAATAAACAAAACCTATAGTATCATACATGTCTCTCAATCATATAATTCCTTCCATTAGAAGAAATGACCAAAAGTATATTTAGTTGTTAATAGGTCTTTAAAGAAATCCCTATCATTTATAGAAAATGGAAATAAATATTAGTATTTAATTATTTAAACTGTTATGTTAAAATTATTTCCACACCACATAATTTTTAAATGCCTACTTGGATCACCAAGTACACTTTTGAAAGATGGATCAAGAAAAGACTTTATAAAAAGTAAGGTGTGACCCACTTTCCCATTTATTATGTACAATTTTTAAAAAGCGTTTTGCATATACACTATCCACAAAATTTTATAGCAGCTTCAATTCCCACTGCTTACTTGGACTCCTGCTTGGAAGTCTAAGTTTGCAGGATGCTCTCACTGGTCTAGAAATCACAGCATGTGGTAATACTGAATAAAGGCAGAGACAAACAGCACTAAACAATGGCAAATGCTCTGTGAAACACCAACAGTGTTACAACTGCTCTGCAGGGACTGCCTCTGCCTCATGAACAGAGACAATGAACCGAGACAGCTGGAAGCATCTTAGTAATTTAGAAATTAGAATACAGTTTGTTTCCTGACACTGCAGAGCTCGAATGTGCACACTTCATTTTGTGCATTTTACTGCACATTGTGTAAACTCAAATGTGCAGTAAAATGGGTTTTGGTATACCACTTTTTTTAAAGAGAAACTACTTTTCAAACTGTAGAGGTATACAAATGATATTTTAAAAAATAACTCATTTGTCAAGAAAGAAAATAACCTGATCTGCAAAGCCCAAAACAACCCAAGGAATTTAAATAAATATAACCATGTCAAACCTTTACATGTGTCTATTTCTCATTCACATTCCACTTTAAAATATATCTTCCATTTATCAGTTACTTTTTTATACTATATTTTTCTTAAGGATTTTGTGGAAGCTTCCTATCACAAAGTTTCACTTACATAGTAGTTATTATGGTATTTTTAAAGTGTAGTAACAGCTACACTTTAAAAGCTTGTTTCAAGCATTTTGCTGTCATTAGGTAGTCACTGACTGCAATTTTGAGAAAAGCAAGAATGGATATGTCCTAGCAACTAAAATCTAGTGGGTCACTAACTACAGTCTTAAGAGCAATATTCAAAACCACAGCAGGTTATAAATACCATAAACTACAATAACTACAACTACAAGCTACTATTCAACTAAAAATAGTTTCCTAGTAACAAATGTATAAACAGTTCATTTAGAGTAACTGTTCTAATGTTTTACTTTCATTTTCTTTTTTAAGAAATTAAAAAATAACTCTCACTTTTTCCCTCACAAAGATCTGGAGGGAGGAAAAAAAGCACAATGTTCTCAACAAGTACAAAATGGCATTCTATATAACTACTACAAGGGAAATGTTGACAATACTAGGATATCAAATCTCAAATCACCTTGATCAGTTTCTCTCAGCTCCAAGCAATTTGTCCTTTCTTGTTTCTAAATTTAGGTAGATGTGGTAATGTGTGAAGAAAAGCAATCAAACAAAAACAACAACAAATAAAGAGTTTGAGGGAAATGGCAAGTCCCGGGAGGCAAGAAGACATCCAAATGCCAGGCACCTCCTCCTGCCAGGGTGGCAATTAGAAAGTGCCACTGCACTGCTACTGAGTCTTGCATTACATAGAGGGAATGTAGCAGAGATATGAGATACAAATATATTTTTAAAATAAACCAGAAAGGAAGGAGAACTGTCAATATTTGCATATGATATGATACTGTATGTAGAGAACCCTAAAGATTCCATCCCCCCAAAAAACCCAAACTACTAGAACAGATAAATGAATTCAGTAAAGTAGCCAGATATAAAATAAATATCCAGAAATCAGTTGCACTTTTATACACCAATAATGAACTATCAGAAAGGGAAGCTAAGAAAACAATCCTATTTCAATTGCCTCAAAAAATACTGAGGAATAAATTTAACCAAGGATGTAAGACCTATACTTGGAAAATTATAAGACACTGAGGAAAGAAAATGAAGAAGATACAAATAAGGGGAAGCATATACCCGTTCATGGATAGGAAGAATTAACATCATTAAAACGTCCATATTACCCAAAGCAGTCTACACAATCAATGCAATTCCCATCAAGATACCAATGACATATTTCACAGACTAGAACAAAGGTTACAAAAATTTATATGGAACTGTTACTGAACAAAGTGGGATCTGGCTGCCTGCCACTGTATACACACATAACGAAGATTAATGGGGAAGGAAAAAGGTCTTTATTAAAATGTTGCCCAATTTTGGAGGAAGCTGGGAACTTCGTGGATCTAGGCCAAGCTCTTCCACAAACACAGAAAGAAGCCAGCCACCCCTGGAACTAGAGTCAATGTCCAGACACCCTGCTCCATTCTTATTTGTCCTCCTGGGGTCCAAGACTGTTACACAAATGGCAACAGCTCTCCATCAGGCTCTCTCTCCCTGGGGTGCGTACTTGTGGGACCAGCACTGCTATCACCTTGCCACAGCTTCTTCCTCTTGCCTGGACCACTGCCACATCACTGCAGCTGGTTGTGCAGTGGCTGTGTCCATGGGAGAACATGGACCCCCCAGCACCCGAAGCTGCTTGCACTCCCAAGGCCAGCAAGCGTTCTGGCCTGTGCATCCATGAGCTGAGAAGGGG